GACACTAATCATTTGGGATCAGCCTAACGCGTGGCTGATGTGTGTGTGTTTTCATGTGGTGGGAAAACGTTGTAGAACTGGCTCACTATTCATATTTTCCGAAGCGTTTTGAGGATCAAATTCAGATTTGTTCAAAAATTGATTTGCAAGAACACGAAGGAGGATCATCTGGGAGTTGTTTCTGTTGGATTGTGCCAATAATGCTTTGGTTCATCGACCTTGGGTCTAGCTGAATTCGAGCGGAACTTTCATCTATCAGAGCCAGAAATCAGTTTTTAATAGAAATTCTCCAAAATGATGGCTTGTGGTTTTGACCATGTCTATCAGGGCGGAAGGGGTTCTTTGGGGCCGCAGGAATGTGAACCAAAGTTTTCTTTGCACAACGCAGCATTAACAACTCCAAAGCAATCTTCCTTCGGTTGCATGCGAGGACAATTTACGAACCCCTCTTATCCTTCTTTTAAAACAAAATAACTGGTTAAACCAACATCAGTACATTTTGCCATTCATCGCAACCCAGCTTCCCTTCGATTCGTATGAAAAGGTACTCTGACCCATGGTTTCGGAGCCCGCTCTATCATTGTGACATAGTTCACATTATTTGTTGCATTTTCCCCATATAAGTTGATGTAATATGCCCATTCCGTTGCATCATTTTTGTTCCTTGACCTGTCCATCAGCAGTTAAATGGACTTAGCAATTTTTTTCTTCTCAGATACTTAATCTTGCCGCGAAGCTTTGCATCACAAATCCTCGACAGACTTATCTGTTGACGCAGTACGTGCTAAATCTAGCAAAGTACGACCAGAACTACGATATCCGGGACCGTTCACGCATTGTTCGCGCACTCCTTTTCCCGGACTCTGGCAGCGGTGGTGCTGCTGACAAATCGGTGAGTCCAAGTTGAGTTTGTTTTTTTTCAAAGCTCAACCACTATTTTCCTTGCGTGTCTTGTCTCCATTGGTCACTGCTGTAATTTCTGCTTAGTCTTTGATGCCAATCCATCTTGTATTATAATGATGGACATATCATCTACAGAAGTGTGTTGACTTCGTTGTCGCGACTTTGTTTTGTTGTCAGGGCGACTATGTAGAACACACCTAGTCCGAAGTCGTTTGCCATGTTAGTTGTCTTGATTCCCGGCATCTGACAGTGGAATTGGTGCATTCTCAAACGTTTCGCCGGTAGCGTATTCGGCATCATCAGTGAGCTTTGCCATTCTCCGCACCAAACTACGAACTCGTCAATCCCTCGACAAGCGTTCTGCCGAAAACGGTTACTATGGCAGACGACTTCGGACTAGGTGCGTTCTACATAGTCGCCCTGACAACAAGACCAAGTTGCGA